ACACCTTCTTGGTCATTCGATTCAGCCCTTTCAGTAAGATGGCCGGATCTGGTTCAACTGCTCCGACCTCAGCTGCTCTCCGTCTCCAACGCAACCAACGGCGAATGGCACCAGGGGCATCATGTATGTTGGTGATCTCTGAGGGGTCCTCCAGGCTTTTGAGTAAGTGTTGTTTTTCTGCAACTCCACTCGGACAGTATGTTGTGTACAGGTATGTGAGCACCCCGTACACATTCAGCCTTCTTGCCGCCACCAGCTCTTCTTTGCATCCTTCCGGAATTGCCTTCATGACCATGGTGAAGACACGCCGTTCCAGTCTTTGCCACCGCGCTTGCTGAAGACTATCAGGCACTGCAAAACCATGATTGAGCCTGTCCAGAGGTGACATGGAAACGTGTTTGCGATACCAGGCTTCCACTTCTTCTGTCATCAAAGTCCACCAATCGTGGGAAGTTGTGGACAAGTCTGAGATTATGGGATTGAGCAGCAACATCCAGTCTCCAAGTTGCAAAGGCCCAGTCCCAGACGTCCACGGCATCAAATCAGGTAGATCCGGGGAGCCTGAGCGCACCACTTCCACGCCCATGACACTTCCTTCTTCTCCTCGTCCATCTTGAATCTTCTTCTGCAAATCTCGCATCGACTGAACCATCAAGCACATCAGCTCCATGGATTGAGTATTGAAGTCAGCGCTGTTCTTTTGACTTCCTTCTGGGGGTCTCTCGGCCTCCTTTCCTTGTCGGTCAGCTGACCCTTCCTCCTGTGGGGGTCTGCCAGCCTGCTTCGCTTGTCGGTCTGCTGACCCTTCCTCCTGTGGGGGTCTGCCGGCCTCCTTAGCTTGTCGGTCTGCTGACCCTTCCTCCTGTGGGGGTCTGCCAGCCTCCTTGTCAAAAGTCTTTTCAAGATTCTTTACACCCGCGCTGCTTTCTTTCGACAGGCTATCAGGTGTGGCAAAATGAACTTCAGAGTCACATGGTTGAACCTCCGTGGCATGAATCCTAGACCTAAGCCTCTGATTCTCTTCCATCATTGATCTCATCAATTGTTTCATTTCTTCTCGTTCTTTCTGATCTCTCATCATCATATGGTGCAACATGGAAAGCTGGTGGTCTCTGTCCCTCAGCTCTTCGCTATATCTCTTCTCTTCTGACTCCAAAAAACCAGGTCGCGGCACCACTGTCGAAAAACTGGGTCCCACTGGTCCATAGAGCCAAGGA